GTTGTTTTCCAAGAACTTATCAGATTTCTTGTGAAAGAGCTGATCTGGCTGACCTTTTATAAATGACATTATTGTGACTCCTATCCACAGCTTGGCCAGGAAGTGATTTATAAAGTTATGAATTTGAAGCTACAGAGCACACGTGCACAGACTGAATTTTTTTAAACTTTTCAGCGAGTAAATCAAATCAAAACCATCACATCAGTTGTTTCTCTCGCACGTTAGAAGTAGAAAACCCAGAGTGGTCAAATCTCAGCTTAAGAAGAAAGTATGTAGCGCATGTCTGTCTGTCTGATGACTTAGGAAGTCTTATTTATTTGTTCTTAAGCGCAAAGCTACACAATGGGCTATCTGTGCTGTGCCCATCGTTCTTATCGAAATCCTGTTTTTAGCGTTATAAGCCCTCTGGGGGGGGGGGCTAACTTAGGAGGTCCAAAAATTAAACAATGTTGACTTCCCAATGTCTAATTTTAAATCGTTTTACTGAAACACGTTAACTTATATGAGACTTATTCTTAGAAACAAAGAACCCTACAACGGGGGTCCATATATATATATATATATATATAATAACGCCTTTCTTTTACGTTATAAAACATACGTTTATTTTTTTCCCCATAATCACAGTTAACTCGAAACTTGGAATTTTTTGAACTTAGTATAATAGCTGTTTCACAATTTTAAAAGTTGTTTACCATACTGCAACAACTTAATAAAATATAAAATTGTTATTTTCATAATTTGTAAACACAGAGAAAGCTGTATTCAAGTAATAAGACCTAACACTCAAATCACATTTCACAAACACGTTTAATAATCTTTACATTTCTAATTTTCAAAAATATGACTCTGGTTATATATAAATAGTGTACAACTAACGCTTTGTTTGCAGAGATTATATTACTTATTGTCCTCTGCTTAGAAATATATTACTGTAAATATAATATATATATATATTGTCTACAACATAGACGGATAATATTATAAATACAGAGTATGATAAGTGTTTCAATCTAATTCACAGTGCTATAACCTATTAAGTTTAGGATAACCCGATCTCGAACAGATTATGTGTATATATATATATATTTCTTTGTCATATACATCCCTATTTGTGTCTCAAATTTATTTTTTCGAGAAATTTCAAACCGTCGTCTTAAAATTACAAATAAAGGATTTTCTGATATTATTGGAACATTTAATTTCCGTAATATTTAATTTCGATTCTTCAAATTTTCACATTATTCTGTTTAGTAGATTTTTTGAGGACATATTTAGTTAATATAAGTCATAGTTTGGTGGCATCGTTAAGGTTAAAAGAGACATTACGTGTGCTCTACTCTGTGTGAAAGACTAAGGACATGTCTATGAGGACTTATTTAGTTAATATAAGTCATAGTTTGATGGCATCGTTAAGGTTAAAAGAGACATTACATGTGTTCTACTCTGTGAGAAAGACTAAGGACATGTCCGTGACCAGCTGGAGGAGGTAAGGTCACGGGGGTCACAACGTACGTAAGCTTCCTGCCGGCCATGTTTAGTTGGTTGCCGTCCCGGGTACACATTTCATTAATGTAGGCGAATTAATGCTATCACTGCTGGAGCTAAAAATGCACAAGCGGACTGACATGTGCTGGCTCTACATCTACCATTCGTCTAGGTCTATTTCAGGTTTCACCGCCGTCCATGGTGTATTATCAAAACAGTCGGGGGCAAATGACACAATCAGCTCCGCCTCGAATACAGGGTCTTCAATCGTGAGAAAAGATTAAATGGGTAGCGGGCAAACAAGTTATTTCAAGCATTTCTTCAATCAGTTATATTTAAAATTCTGGTATTTTTTTTTTAACAGTATAATACCGTGGTTCCAAATATTCTGGTTAACCATAAACGTCACGTGTAACAGATGCCAAACGTAAAGTCAATTTCAGAGCTATAACGTAGTATAGCCACACACACACACATCAGAACCTAAAAGAACACGTGGATTGTCACCTTAGATATACCTTTTATTTGTACAGGCGACCACGTGAAAATCAGATATCTGTCTACGGCTTTTAACTCATCACTCTGAACTTAGAGAACGTGTTAAAAAGTACTCGAATATTAATTATATACTTGTACTATTTACGTTTAAGTTCCATTTAGTTTAAAATACTTTTTAAGCGTAGCATACGTGTTTTCTTTTAGCTACTTTTTAACTGTGAAGTATTTGTATTTTTTGTAATTCACCTACCTTATAAATTGTGACTTTTGTATTCTTTGGATCGTCTTTAAAGTCATCATATACATCACATTGTTGTAATTATTAGAACTGTTGTTCTTGTTCTGCGCAGCTGCCGAGGGAGGTAAAAGCTGTAAAACGTAAATAAATTAATCCTTCTATAAAGAATAGATTTTTTACTTAGTAAATATGTAACATTTCATCATTTAAAAAGGAATACCATAGGAAAATTAAACGTCTCATTTTTTTATTGACATAACTTGCGTGTTCAGTTTATTTATTTATTAGAATGAACAAAATTATTTTTCAACACGTACAATATTAATTTTTGTTCCTGCTTACTTATTACCATACATCGATGTGCGTCACTGGATATAAACACGTTTGAATTACTTTTAACTTATCTTACGCTGAGCATGCGCTGTTAAACTCTACTGAAAACTGCCTACCTAAAGATTCAAAACCACTTTTTGTCGCATCTTGCTTGATGTTTGATCATCCTAGCTAGATATCTTTGGAGATCCTGAATTTGCATCAAATTAGAGAAAATTTTATACTTAGTACAAATGTGTCAGATAAGAAAAGTTTTCTTTTATCACAGAGACGGACAGACACACAGTCAAACGTGTAAGTCGCTAAGGTTATGAGAAAGAGCAGTAATATTATGTCAACTCTTTTATTACTAACACTTACATACTAAAATGAAGAGAGGTGTACATAAATCATGATAGCCAAATACATTCTTTTGATATCTTGATAAGGAGAGTAACATTTTAGCCTTAATTCGTATATGAAATGACCTAGTCTCTCGAATTGAAGCGCAAGTGGATATTTTCTATAAAACGGATAACACTATTAATGATAATTAAGTCTTTGATGGTTATGGTGGAATTAATTATAAGCTATTATCCGTACTTTTCTGCTGTTTTTAATTCGTAATTACAGAATATTTTTTAACTTCTGTTTCTCAAAACTATACATATTTTTGTAATAGATTTTGCTAATTATAATAGTTGTAGCCTTTCTTTTAAACAAAACTAACGGTTTCATGTAAGTCTTCAAAAAGCTAATGGTTTCATGTAAGTCTTTAAAACTGACGGTTTCATGTAAGTCTTCAAAAAAAGAAACTTATTATTATTATTTTACGGGATTAACAGAATAAGATATAGTGCTATAGTTGTTTGGTTGTCAGGGAACAAAGCCTAGTCTGTCATCCTATACAAAGCACGCTAGTTAACTGTTTCTATAGAAACCGAAACACTTAACAACGACATGCAAAGATGGGTAGAGTGGTTTCAGGCTGAGGTAGTCGAATGAAAGAGACGAAGGGTATGACATCCAGGCATGGCTATCACGAGCCTTTTTGTTCTGCCATAAACATACAGTGCACGTGATTGATGGGCTCTGACCACAAAGTCCGCCTGTACGGGCACGCGGACTCATAAGCCCGGCCTTTTTGCTGGTCTGCAGCTGAAACGACAGTATTACTTGTCTGTCGGTGAATAGTATGAAATATGTCTAACAATCGCCGGTACATTGGAGGATAAACACTTAACATGTATATTTATTCGTGATGATTTTAGCATAATCTCGATCATATTACCACATTGCCTTCAGTAACACGTATTCATCCACGTGCTGTAATTAGTTACATTTGTATCAGCGCCGCCTCCAATCACAATAAATTACGTTTTTAACACGTTAACTTTAAAACTCTCAAACAATGAGCAGTGTTTTTTGTTTTATTTACTGCATGTGTGAACATTCAGTTATGCTTCAGTTCGTAAGAAAGGCAGAAAAGTGGGGGTAGGTGAAAATTAAACGTTCGAAACGTAGAGACAGTGGGAGGCAGAAAAGTGAGGGTGGGTGAAAATTAAACGTAGAAGGAGTGGGAGTGAAAAACAAGCGTTGTTTCGTCGATTCCACCTAGTTATTCCATTCACTGCTCTGTTTTGATTGCTCAAATGAACAATCGGTTGTTAGTCAGCTCCTTATTTGAACTGCTTACTGAAACAGCTGGAATCGAACCCATCGACCGTTTTTGTTTGGATGCAATACGTATTCCACGTCTCCCAGCAATACGGCTGATCACACCCATCTACTGCCGCTTCAACTGATTATTTGTCCGCACGCTTGACTTGGCTAAGTTACCGTTATCTGTACAATACGACGGAATGTTAGCTTCGATACCCTGTTAAGCATCACATGTTATTTGTTATAGTAAATCAAAGTCCTCAAATCAAACCCGGTATGAACTTTGAACGATTCTTTTTAAGCCTAAATGACTTTATTAAACAAAGTAACGACGTTGCTTTCAGAGGCTTCATAATCTGAAGGAAACGAAATAAATATCTACATACCTAAAGTCTAAATACTCTACATATATTTTTACATGTTAAGCTTGATATATATACGCACGAGAACTAGATTAACAAGCTCAACAAACCAGTTTGCTGCTAAAGATCACGTAACGACGTACGTATGGTTACGTTCTCGAAGCCGCACTATCGTTTAGCAGTAAAACCAACTGCCCAGAAGTTTTTCATTTCTCATTCGTCACATGCTCTACGCCGCCATGAGTTCCAAATTTGTAGCTCTTTACAAGCTTGGGTGGACACACTGCATACAAGGACTATATCTGTTAACTTGTAATGAATAATAGGGTTTTTGTGGTTATAAAGAGAGGGGGAAAAAGAAACATATATATATACCCTGTAAAGATGTTACCAAACTTGGAGTTTTCCTGTTAGTTAAACCTTTCTCTCGGTTTCCTCAGGTTTCCGGCTGGTAATACTGGGTCAGCGGCTTCGAGGGAAAAGGTCACGATCGGGTAATTAAGGTAAAGCGGTGTGTTTGTCCTTTTGTTTTCCCACAGGGGTTGTCTTGTCGTTCCCAGCCAGACAGGTAATTTTCCCGCAGAGCAATAGACGACACAGCCGTCTACTTTCCCTCTGGGACATTCAAGGACTCTTCACTTGTATGCGTTGGTCAGTAATTGGTGACAGGGTGTGTAGTATGTTGTAGGTTAGCTTTGACCACATGTTTCACTCTTCTATTTCCCGCACTGTCACATAGGTCGAAACTCTGACAGCGTGGCCACTTCATTGGACGATGCTTGATCACATGACAACAGCCGCTTGTAGACCGCCACGATGACAGACTACTGTCAGAATGTAATAAAATTGACTAAGTGTCCCACAATGCAGAAAACATTTTACGATCCACATCAAACATCTAACTGTTTGGGGTTTTACAATCAACCAACAGTCATGACCAACGGGTTTGGTGGTTACGTCTCCGAAACGCTACAACAACCACAACAGCGGTTTTATGACTCACCCTACTCGAACGAAAACGTGCAGTATGGACACCATTCGTACACTGTACACGACCAGCAACAACAGATTGCTATGAACATCGTACAGCAAAGTGGGCTCTGTTCAACGACTCCGTCACCACCACCACCACCACATCTGTCTACATCGTACGGCGACCTTCTTCAAACGACCGACGGCAACTATCGCCTACAGCATCCTCAGCAGTTTGTTAATCAAGTCAGTACACTTCCGGAGATTCAGAAAAAGATCTATCCGTGGATGTGTGATTCCAGGCCAACATCCAAGCAGAAACATTTCACCGCACGAAGCCATCCCCATCACGCCGAGGCAGTAGCAGGTAGGACTAAGTCATTAAGGATTGACGGATGAGTACGCTATCATAGGTCGCCGTAAATGCCATTTGACCCCATTAAGGACTCTAATGATGGGAAATGTAGAGACTGGTTAATGTTGACTGGCTAAAAATGTTTCCCAATTACTCTTTATTCAGGTCCTTATGGCTTTTACGCTTCCTTTGTAGAAAACATGTGTGTATTTATCGTTTAGGTAATCTTGCATTCTCCTAAGTGACAGGAGATGAAAAATAACTGATTAATGAATGAATGCGTCTCCTATACAAACGTTCCAACGTGTACCCATACGCAATACATTTTAAGTCCTGGAGAGGTTAGCACTGTATAATAACCGAGCACAAACTGCCTTTCCACATTCAAAAATAAAATATAAAAAAATCCGGGTCTCTTTTGTAGTAGTAAGTGTTTAGTGTTGACACGTACGGGACTGGTCACCAGTAGGGAGGGTAGATAGTTTATGTTCTGACATACTGAATGATTGAGGAGTTCCGCTTTCTAAGAAGAACATTTACAAACTTAGACATCAACATTTGTCATTTGGATAGATTTCCCTGTCCTTCTATGTTCCTCGCGTATCCGTATAACTTCTGTAGTTAGTCATAAACCTGCACTTAATGAAGCACAGTACATCATTTAAGCCTAAATAAATCAAATGCTATAGAAAATTTGGGTCGAACCGACACAAGATGTGACAAGTAGTATGTTAGTTTATGTATTTTATACTTGGCGAAACATGTCAACTTTTATCACTTAATTAAATTGTTTTTATAGCCTGATTGTGTTTATGTAAATATGGTGTATTAATGGATCAGATTCCTGATTGTGTGTAAATAGGGTATATTAATGGATCAGATCTCAGGTTCATCCATTTTGTTTTAATTGGATTATAAGGTTTGTTTTTCATCGATATATGATGGAGGAAAACAAACTTCATACTCCAGTTATATGATTGTACATTGAGTTTGGAAAGTGTTACATTTTTAAAACATATCAGACTATTCGAGAATGCTTCTGAACTTGGATCTTACCAGGACTTTATACATATATATAATCACTGGAGTCACGCAATCGATTGACTTATAAGAAAACATTCGCATCAGAGTGAGTTAGAGATGCCATCTGAAATTCATTCACAGTCTCTTACAAGATCACTAAGACAGTTTGTGATCTATATTAGTGACTTTTGAGTGCTGTACAGTCCATGCCGTCTTTGATTACGTAAACATGTAATTTAGACGTGAACTTAGTCCTGCAAATTAGAAGAAAGTTAATAGTAAAGCGATTATATACATAGTTTGTTTTAACCATTAATATACTGGAGTGTTCAGTACATATATACTTTCTCGACTAGACACCAACTATTGCATGCGAATACATACGTACTCAGGTTTCAGAAAATAACTTTCTATAAAGTTATAAACATCACGTACATTATATATATATATATATATATATACATATTAGAACGTTCTTTGTCCTAACAAACACTATAAATTGTTCATAAGAAACCCAGTATTATTTATGACACAACCTTTATCGTAGTAAAAAAGCCTGTAAGACAAACTGTCTAAAGACAGGACGGTGGTTACGTACTGTTCCCAATCCTGGATCAATTGGTCTTAACCTTCACGTTGTCGCTTTTTATTGAGTTTAAACAAACACTGAGCTCGTATTCTGCTAAGACACGCTTGCTACTTTAATACACACAATAGCTATCTTAATACAATATACCTTTTGTATCTGTTTCATCTCACTGAATGTTTGTCTTTTCTCACTCTACGTTCAAAACTAGTCATCGACTGCTCGCCAGCTACGCCCTAGTGGCTGTTTGGGCGGCCTTAATGGACGACGTCAGCGATAGCAGACGTTGGTAAATTATGGCTTTTTTAGAGTTCGGTGACGTGATCTGTCAACGTGCTAAACAGTCAGACCTATCGTTTAAATGCTCATCTTCTTTGTCGCTTTTAAGTTTACAAATTGATTTATATTTTGTTTGCCAAGGTTATGACTTGCGAAGGGATACATTTACACTGATATGTTGTAAATCTTTCTACCACCGCGGCCTATAATAAATCTTCGGCTCAGCCAGCGTGTGTCGGCACAACAGCCAAGTCCATATAAACGACCTCCTATAGATATCCAACTTATGAAAATCTCAGTACGAAATAGTGATGGCTGTTTATTAGGCCTTGATTACGACATTCAAAGAAGCACGTATTTCATGATACTGTCAAGCCTTGGGCATAAAATGACACGTCTGCATAGGTAGGGAAGAACAAGTGAACTTTTAACAGCTTTATATGTATATGTATATATATATATATACAACTGTGTTTCTTTTCTAACCTTTCATAGCTAACTTCATGTGATGTTATAATATGCCAAACCTCAAGTGATTTATAAGTTAATTGCTCACAGATTACACAGTGTGCTAAAAATAGAATCCACGTTTTTTAAAGGAAAACACATACTGGTTAGGATCCCAACCTATGATTTCGCGAAGTATATAGAAAATAGTTTATTTTCTATAACACATAACAGTATCCATAATAAATAGTGCGTACTATATCATGTTATATGATATTTTTTATATGGGGGGGGGGGCAAAAAGTGTTTTGATGGATAAATGGTTTAGCGGTTGTGAAACAAAATGAAAACGAGGGATAGAGTTGGAAAATAGCTTTCTTAATATCTTCTTAACCCTACGTCACAATTACATATATCATCGTACATCAAGAATTATTGATTTTAGTGAGTCGAACACACTAATTGTCACTTAAATATGTATTCTGTTGGCTTGTTCGTAAGAACGCGCCCACATCCGTACACATATTTAAGTACGGCAAAATTAGTATGATAAAGTTGTGATCAGCAAGTGGTTGTTGCTTGGTATATATATATATATATTGTGAGGATGAGAACCACATGAAAAGCATGGTTAAATTGTCACGTGAATAAGATTCCTTCAAACACTGGAGATAGATTGTGTTATTGTATGCTGTCACGTGAGGATGAGAACCACACGAAAAGCATGGTTAAATTGTCACGTGAATAAGATTCCTTCAAACACTTAGGATAGATTGTGTTGTTGTATGTTGTCACATAATTATATTCATTGTCGTTTCTAACTACATATAACTATAAATGGCCTTTAACCTTATCCGATGTCACCAGAGCTCCCTGCAGCACAATAAAACATTAGCTGTTTTAACGATGTTAGGAAGTTCTACTTCAGGTTAGATTCTCAACAAACTCTTTCTGATCTAGCTTCCATGTGATCTTTTAATATCAAAAGCAAAAGTTACACTGAAAACAATACAAAGTTGGAGTTTCGCACTGTTTCTTGTAATGTTAAACTTTGAAATCACTATGACGTTCGTATGTCCACAACGATTATTTGTAAGTAAGAAAGTACTTAATATATCACAAAGAGAGTCTATATGAGCGAATCTGAAAGTTAAGAGTTTGTTGCTTACCGGCACTAAGGGAGCTAATAGTAATGGTTTTTGTTTGTAGTTAAGCACAAAGCTGCACAATGGGTTATCTGTGTTTTGCCCATAACGGGTATCTAAACTCGGTTTCTAGCGTTGTAAGTCAGCAAACACTGTGCCATTGGGGGGGGGGGGCTCAAGTAGTAATGGTATAGATATGACACTTGGTTACGAAAAACAAAGGTATTTCATGATACTCCATGGATATTAACTTTTTAGGTAAGATAAGTTTTTATGGGACAAAAATTACGTTTTTGTTTACTTGTATATGGAGCCCCATATCGGAAATTTCTTATATATAATTTTAATAGTTGTTAAATAAACTATTCATATGGAGTTATTCTATGTTATCACCACTAGTGCGAGGCCTTAGTCTTTAGGATAGTAATTACTGGAGAATTCTTACAGGTGTATCTAACCCAATATTTACGAATACTTAGCACTGCATATTTGGTTAGCATAAAATCAATCTCGCAGCTTCCAGTAGAAACATATCATTAGTTGTGCACATTGGGAGGTCGTGTCGAAGATTTCCATTGAAATTATCTGGAGCAGATCGAAAGGGCAAAAGATGGATTAGTGAGCGAAAAAAGTCAGAGAGAGGCGACAGCCCTTATGGATAGTTGTTTGTTTTGTTATAGTTTCTATGGAGAACCACGAGTGTGACTATGTAATGCGGTTTGTTGACGTGAAGTTGGTATTTCCACATTTCTAGTCATAACAAAACTGTTAAGTTAGTTATCAGCAAGGCGAGCTTGACTTTCTATTGCGTTAACCCTTTCGTATTTCTTTTACATGAATATTCAATGAGAGTGAGCTTCTGCTCACGCCCCATCAGCCGGCGACACCCGTCAATTTCATGTGGCTAACTTTCTGAACTGGTTATATTCACTTGCCTCTTTGTTTGATATATTTTTGTCTTTGTGGTAAAATCTTTAGGCTACAAAGAGCTCGATTATTCAGAATCAAGATCCATGACTGACAACTAGTTTTGTGCGCCGGGTGGGCGCTTCCAACAGGCGTGTAGTGGTAGAGAAAAAAGAGAGCTAGCTAGCCTGGCAGGCGCCTGTAAAATCGGTTGCCCTGTGCCCTATAACCTAAAGTTATTGAGAAGAAGCAGTCTAACTCGAACTGTTAATTATATATGATACCAGAGGTCGCTGATATTAAAGTTTAACTAATAAACACCTACTTCTTCGATCAGCTCGTGTCAACACTGTCACCAACAGTATGTAATCCTATCGTGGATATGTTAGGACAGATCCACAGTTTTCACACACTTCCATGATCGCCTCTATGTGAGAGTTATGTAGTCGAAACCATCTTATTACAGGATTTTTCAGCCTTAAAGTGTTTAATTCTTAATCATGTCAAAAGTAGTTGTCAACACGTGTTTATTTCCTGGACTAATCTGTATTATCTTTTAGCTACAGCCATCAATCAATGTTTTCTTTTTGTTATTATAAAGAGATTGAAGTGACTAAACCTTGCACCCCACTGGAAGAAAAGCAGCGAGTTTTACAAATCAAACTAAAATTCTGAAACTTAATTTTTTTTTCAGAAGACTTTTCACCTTTTTTTTGTCATGAGTTTCTCAAATCTGCCCTGGCAGTGTCTCCCAAATTCTCCGAGTCAAGTGATCAGATTTGGTTTTAAATGGACAAAACTAAAACATACTCTAAGCCTCGAAATTAAGTAAATGATTGTAAAACGCGCCTATAGTTTCTCTGTGTGCAGTTCAGTGGGAAAACTCTTAAAATTTGTATTGTAAAAAATACACATCAGTCCTGATACATTATAAAAGAACATTAACTCTATAATTACGGATGGGGTACATGTGGACCTCACTGCCTTTTTAAACACATGTTTATGTACCGCATTACTTGTGGGTCCATGCCTCAAATAACATGAATCACAAAACAATTTAAACAGAAATAACATAAATACAGCAGTTAAATCCACTGATTACTGTTAAGTTTTGCTATGTATTTTGCATAGACAGTGAGTGAGTTCAATCAGTATATATTTTTGTTTCCATTCTTCACACTGAATGTTATGTCAGGCAGAAAACAAACAATAACTCTTAATGTTCACTGTTTGTGAACGGTATAATAACAAGTAGGTAACATGAGGTCAAACTACGGCTTGTTTGTTTTTATCTTCTTTTTTTAAACATCACAAATAGAAATGAAACGTTGGGTCTAAGCTTGCTCAAAATTAAACTAAGTTGTTGTAACGTAACTGTATCAGTTATCTTTCTGTTACTAGATAGGTTTGTCATTGTGTTTATTTAAACATGAGAAAAGCACTAAAGAATTGTGCCTATTCTGTTTAATGAACTATGTTTTCCATAAATTTAGATTTCATGATCATTATTTAAAACCGTATGCGCAGTGCTTTTTTGTGATGCATAAAACATTTAACTATAGGTGTATAAAACCTGAACAGTATAAAAACTTTCAATGTTGAACTTGATATAACTCATGACTCTAACATGTGATATATATCTGTTCAAGCTGATATGCAACACAATTAATCTGAAACTGTGATGTACATTATTTCATGCTGTGCCTGAGTTAATATCACATTAGACGAAACCTAACCAACTTAAAGATAAAAAATGGTGAATTTCATATGCAACATAAGTAATTTGAAGCTGATATGCAACAAAATAATCTGAAATTGGTGACGTATGGCAAATGTTTGGATTTTTTTATAGCACATAATCTGTCTTCCCCCGGATCGTTACATTTACAAAACGCACACAGCAGACTTCCTTCGTATTCCCCATTCAGACATATATAGATGTTCAGTGTTATGGTACTGGATAGTTAGTTAATTTGTATGTTTAAAGTAACTGTAGTAATTGATTATATATATATATTTATTTATAACTGTATGTGTACCTATCTTTTTTGGTTTTGTTTATTTACTCATATTCTAGATACCTTGTTATATTAAAAATTCTGTAATAAGCACAATTTTTATCATTCTGTATTCAAAATAACCTGTGAAAAATTAGATTCTGACATTCAATGGTTTATTCGGAGTTTATAGCCTTCTTGCCTATTTTATGAATTTAAAACTCACTCAAGCTTCTTTTATCTACGGTAATATTGTACTTCATATTATATGAAAATTTATTTTAGAGCTGTGAAAGTATTTTGAGTATGAGTTGTATTAACCAATGATTTCTATCGATCATTTGAAAGTTTTAGTTTAGAATAAAAATGTATCTTTACATTAAAGAAAATATTAGTTTTGTTTTAGAATAAAAACGAAGCAGTACTTTGTATGTCTCTTTACAGTAAAGAAAATATTTATTGTTTTGTTATCATACCTGCATCTTATCACCTTTATACTCATAATTGTTGTTGTTCTTCTTCAGAACAGCCTATCAAGAGAGCAAGAACGGCTTATACGAGCGCTCAGTTGGTAGAGTTGGAGAAAGAATTTCATTTTAATCGTTATTTGTGTCGACCCCGCCGTGTTGAGATGGCAAATCTGTTAAGCCTAACTGAGCGACAGATCAAGATATGGTTCCAGAATAGACGGATGAAATACAAGAAAGAACAAAAAAATAAGGGTCTTCAGGAAAAGTCTCCTAGTCCTCACTCAGGAAGTACTACTAATTCCCCATTACCACTCCCCACAAGCCCTGCCAACGTTGCTACAGCATCTTCAGCAAGTAGTGTCTCCATGGCTACCCCAGCCTCGACCTCCTCACAAACGAAAAACGCCCAAATTCTTCATTCCTCTCAAACGCTAATAACCGACGTTTCTTGCGGCGCCAGCACATCAGATAGCTCCTTTCTTGTTCCTCCCAGTTGCCAACAACAAAACAGACAACGACAACCGGAAGGGTCTTCTTCTGCTGTTGTCATAACGCCTTACGTTCAGGTTCCGACGAATCTTGTCGTCCCTCAAGAATTTCATTCTCTTCAAATGACACTTAATCCCTTTTCTAACCATCCTTCAGATTCAGAAGTAGCCTCATTTGATCCAGCAACGTTCCATGGAAACTTACCGTCCATCCAGTTACAAGACGAACTTCCACAACAGCGAATCCACCCCAACAGTGTCACCATCCCTGATTCTCCTGCTAACTTACCCCCATTTCTTGTCGCCTCTCAAAGTCCACAGGTCCAGAACTATCATTCCACCGCACCGTCAATGGCGCATCCTCAGCTTCAGGTTCACACTTATTGCCAGCCCCAGCAATTCACCAAGATGGACGACTGGATGCAACAACAACATCAAACATTTCAACAGTACTGCCCAAGAATTTCGTCCGTTACGGCTCCACCCAAACTTACCCATTTTTAAGATCCCATGTAATTATTTTAAATATGTATTTATTCTACGGATGTAAAATAGCTGTACATTTAGTATATTTTTTATTTGTATTGACGATATACAAGGAACTGTATGAAGTTGTGTTGCTAATTTAAAATTCCATTTTTTGGTTAGTTCATTATATAGGACTTCTTGAAGCAAATGGGTGTTCAGAGATATATTATGTATCAGCCGTTGTCGAAGCTTGTCACTCTATGTAATGGCAACATGACACCAGAGTTAAGGATTGTTAAATTCACTTTATATAAGGTATTAAGAGAGCTACCCCTGTCATTATAATGAGATACATAAATCCTGTTAGAAAGTTCATAACAATCTGTATAACTCTGTACGTGTAAGAAACTTGCATATTAATTATGTATTATCTAATACAACTTGTTCTTCGTGCAAACAACACAACTGGTTTAAAACGACAAATGAAAACTAATGCACGTTAAATGGTTTCATAATTGAAGGTTTCTGTAGTGTTCAGTCAACCTGTGAAACAGATTTCAGAATGAATTGCATAAAAATTTAAATAACATGTGCATAAGTAAATGTAAAACAACTATTTCATTCTTGCTAATAGGTTAGTTTTCTAAGCATGTTTCTGTTGAATGATATACCAATTTAAACTTAATGGTGTTGTTAGGAAACGTTTTTATACTTACAAATTATCTTGGGATTGTTTAACAAAAATTCAAATATTTTTGTTTTGTTTTTATATGCTGCTATGTTTGCCATGTTAACATGGCCGAACCAATACTGATTATTTTACACGATATGGACGGAACATGGTGAATTACTGACCCTAGCATCTACAGGGGTAAAATCAATTTGTGTTTTGACAAACAAAAGATGGCCTAGGCTTTCACAGTCTGGGGAACCGGAAACAATATCTGAACTAGTTTGTTTCTACACAAAAACTTGTCAGTGTCCACATGCAGTAATTATGAAGGATGAGGTATGGATAACTTGGTAGGGAACGCCCCTTTTGGTCGGTAATCATTCCAGCTCCGGAAACCAGATCGCTTTCTTGTAATAGCACATGTGCGTTAAGGAACTCGAACTGATCACACACATTTGGTTAGTAACTTTTACCGAATTCATCGATCTTGTTGTTACTCAGAGTTTATTTAATGCATTTCTAGCAAAAGATAAAATAGGCAAAAGTTTTCAACGTCAGAAAACTCACAAGTGTCTGTATTTTGCACGTGAATGTTTATCTGAAACTAAAAGTTACTGCTTTGACGAGATAACCATCAGAAACTTCTGACGACATAGGATATGCTTATCTACAGTACCAGTCTCTACCACTAAACAAATATCTGCTTTATTATTGGATAGTAGAGTTGTAGCAGTGAGCACCCACGTTCCGCTTTGCTTACCCTGATCCGTCCTGTGCTTGTCAATCAAACTGGTAATATTAGACTAAGCCTGTGGTCACCGGCCGCCCTTTCTGTCCCATTCCCAGAACGTGACCTGCCAATCATTCCTTGCACCCAACCCACCTCATCTTTCCTCTTATCACTAACATGTAAGTTACAACAGAGCTCTTTCAATACTGAAGATCGCTTGTGTTGGAAACTTCTAACTAAACCTTAAAACTGAGATAAAACAAAGAAATGAAGTAGAAGTGACAGTTAAAATCATTCATAAGAAGAGAACACATTCGAAATTATAAAGATGACATAACACTTGGGAATTATAGCTGAAACAAAGAAAAATAGATACTTAAAAACATTATACCATACATTAAACACTTTGGACGTCCTTTATTTTCAACAGAATTTTAAATAAACCGACAGTGATAACCTTGATATGAACAAAGATATTTAAAAAATCTGTTTTTGCAGCTGATTTTAGGCCATACAAATTCATTGTGAAAAATAATATATGTAAAGTTACAGCAAGAGAAATATAGAAAGACCAACAACATTGTACTAGACTAGTCTTGTATATGAAGAGTAATTTTATAGCTACTTCTATGATATATATATAAAATCAAAAGCTTCCAGCCTTTAGGAATACCATCCAACCTTCAAACCTCCATCTCAAATGTTTCATAACTCCGGAATGTGCTTCCAGTTATATGAAAATATTGGATAGATTCTCGGATAACCAAAGTTTAAGATCTTGAGGAGGCAAATGAACTTGCCTTACAGAATTTATTGTTTTCCACTGATAACTTTTCAAAATGTCGTCTACAAATTGCTTCATTATCGAAATTTATTATAAATATCGAACATCTCAAAAATTGATCACGTGACCTTACTCCCTAAGAGTTGTTTTTTTTTTCTTCATTTTAACCCTCTGGAAGAGGGAATACTGAGAATATTTTATGTCTGAAATCTGAACAATGTTTACCAATAAATGACTCAGGGTTCTGAAGAAATAGGGTATCTAAAGTCATGCAAGATTGTGTGTTCTGTTGTTGTTCGTCAAGACGTTCTGTGTACGATGGCTTAGGATAGTGAATAACGCCTAATTATAATAATATATTATCGTTTTAATGAATGGATTAGGCGATTTCGTTTTATGAGTGAATTTAAAAATAATTACTTTGCTAATTTAAAACATTCAAATATGAAATAACGTGTGAATGAAAGAAATTGTTCTGTTAATAATAACGATTCTTCTATCATTGTTCTTGTTGAAAGAAACAATACTTAAAATACATTTTAACGATGGCTAGATATGCTTAAATTGATAAAACAGTGTCTATTTCAGTTATGAAGTTGTATACACTTGAGTTTAGACAAGGGCGCGAGTAGCCCTGCTGTAGAACTCGGAATTTCGGACTTTGGAGCCGTGTTCGAGTGCCAGTCAATCTCATAGCGTGGATGTTGGCTGGTAGAATGCTGCTGACTGGCTGTCTTCCTTCTGGTCAGTAGCTCAAAATTAGGGTCGGCGGCAGATAACCTTAGTTAATACAGTTATGGCAAAATGTACAGAATGTTGTAATAATAATAAATTTATACAAGAAAATGCACTTAATCGTTTCATTCGTTATTTTCTTCCAAATATGAGTATTAAAGAGCAAACGTTATGAAATCACATCCACGTTTGTAAATTGTATAAGCTTATTATAAGTCTTCTTGATTTAACATAGTTGTAATAAACACAGAAAATGTCACACATTGGCAAAGTTAATAAATCTGGAAAAAATAAATATAACTTCTTGTTTTCATGTTTGGATTGTGCAGATTGGTATTGGCCAGTATTGTTAGCCTAAATACAGTTTTTAAAACGTACTGTATAAATACACCAGTATATTTTATCGAATTATTTTAACTGCGTATCGTTCAATGTTTCATGACTCACGGGTAAGGGAATTTTGAAGTCAGTGATGGTTCGATTTTGGGTGTGTAAATTACATATGACGAACGAGCCAACTCCAGGGTTCAGCCTTATATTGGGTGACAGCATGAAAATCAACTTTGCTTGCCACACAGACCTGGTTTGTAATTCAAATACTTTCACACAGTAGAAAGTTCTAGTTTTGACAGGAGAAAGATGTTGTCGTTATGGAAACCAGATTTTTTTTTCTTTCTTTGTGAATTTTAGATCCTTACACGTAAAGGAACAGTTGTGGTGGAGGAACGTTTGCTTGTGCTTTACGCTGGGCTACAGTCCCTTACCGTGGACACATAACTGCTAGAACTTCTGTTGAAATGACGCGTAAATATTTATATGAAACACAAGTAGTCCTCTTGGTGTATATTTTACAACCAACAGTGTTCACTTACCAATAGAACCCAATTACAGCTATAGCCAATAAATGGATGTACTTGCTGTTAAGATTTGTATTCGATAAATGTAAATGTAGCCACAGCCAGGGAAATTGTATACAGCACATTCAACAGCAGTTCCGGAACAAGCTTCTGCTTCTACTGTGATGTAGGCAATGCATCACCTTTTCGTGACTGTATAAAATAACGCAAAAACATGCAGGTTTGAGTATGTTTGTCAGCACTGAGAGAACATCCAATATATAGATATAAATTCTCGCCTACGAGTAGTAAATACATTTTATATGTTCGGAAATTATCGAATTGAATTCAAAACGCGACTATGCATATTTTGAACTTCAATAGCTTCTATACATGTAGGGTACATCATCGAATGGACTTACTTTTTTATCACAAAGTAGAATGAAGTAAAGTTTTACTTTCTTTTTTAAAAAACTTCAGAGGGAGCTTCAGTATCCTCAATTAAACTAACGAATAACGTTTTGAAGGGTAGCATCAGTATTCTCCATTAAAGCAAAAAACTCGAATAGCAGAGCATTTGAGATAGCAAAAAGCTCTTAAACCACACCCTAACCTAATTTGGAGCAGTACCATTCTATGCTATGATTACGAAAGAGAATTCTTCGACCCAGAAGGCCGTACTGGTAAAGCTGGACGTATCAACTTGTACTGTTAAATAGATAACAGAAATATTTGAAGTTAACGAAGAATCGTCATAAGTTCACAAGCTTTCAACCAAACCTTGAAATCGACGGCTGTTTTCATGAGAAAAATTACCAATGAATTTGTAATAATATCAATTACATTTGATAACCTCCTCAAGGCCTCAGATGTATCTTCAATGGACTTTTGTGTCTTTGATCTGTTTGAACGTGGTCTTGGAAGCTGACATTCAAGTACAATGGAGAATTTGGGGAGAGCTTATCAAGATTTATGGTCTACAATTGATCTCGCCATCCTTTGCAGAAACATTTTGCAATGTGATATTGGGCAATACTATGTAATAATGAGCATGATTGACGATGGTGGAAGCCATTTTTAAGGGCAGTATTAGACTTAAAACATCATCCTTATAAAGTGTGATTATTCTCAGTACTTTGAAGGCGCCAGCTTTAGATGCATTATAAGAATGAATAACGTATACATTAAATAAGGTGATAAAACAATTCATGTAAACAAAGCTTTTTTAAATTCTTATAAACCATATTATCATTATTTTCAAATGTTATTGTAGGTAGCGGATCAAAACAGCCGAAACATCTTGATGCAAAGGGCTCAAAACGAAAGCAGTGTACAGAGTGTAATTTCCGATCGACCTAAATCTTCTACTTTCATATCAAATGAATCATATATTTTGAAATAAGAAAGCACAGAGTGAGAAGTTTATCAGTGACTGACGTTCGTTGTCTCAGTTCTTTCCTGCTTCGTTACATGACATTTGCACAAAGCACTCACTCATACAGTGAACTTACTCATTGACGTGGGCTCGGAGAAGCGTAACTGTGGAAATCAAAGAAATTTAAGGACATGAATTTGGAAAAGAAACCTGTAATCAACTTGGAGCCCACGTAATGTCAAGCTAGAAGCTGGAGGTGTAGACCCACACCGTTGTGTACCTCTTAATAGAAGGTTGTGAATAAGCGTCTGTACTGCCTGATTGCGCGTGTTGATCAAATATGATGAGTTAGCAAATCCGTCCAAAAATCACGCAAACAAAAATTCCTCATACTGCCCATATCTCTTAAAGTTTTTCTGTGTCAGAAGTAAATATATTCTGTGTGTCTGCGTGACTACAATGATGAATAAACGACTGTTATATAGTAACGAAAACTGCAATGTTTTTTATGTCTGTTTTTTTCATTGTAACAGGAATACTTTAGTTTGTTCTTTGTTTCGAGTACAACAATTCTTAGATAACTCAACATGGCACTTAAATAATCGAAACCTTTCCCTAAAATGATTACACAAAATGTCCAAACCACCAATTACACAAGATCGGTTGAAGCTTTCTGTGAAATAAAATATTGTGATCTACAGTGTTCTTAATCCAGCAGATATTTAAGGGTTTTGAATCACGGCTGTTAAATATTCAACTTAATAAAAATAATAATTATGAATTTTTGTAATCTTGCTTTGATATGCATGGTATCATTCTTTGACATGCTTGGTTATGAAGCTAAAAAACTTTTTAATATACATAATGTGTAATATATAACACTATCTTTAATATACGTAATGTGTAATATACAATACTTGTCAATAAAAGTGTCCTTATTTATTTGTTAGTTTTTATGAGCTTCTTAGATATATCGGATTTTTCCTTAAGGTTAAAGGCTACAAGGGAATGAACTTTAAATGTGATTTGAGAGAACATCTACGTGTTCTTAACATACTGCCATATTTTTTTTGGGGGGGGGTCCTAAATGTTAGTAACTATGTACGTTACACTTCTAATACTTCAGGTATCTTGGGGCAAAGCTATTCTTTAACATACCATACATGAAGATCAGTCGAAATGACGAAATGTGCAACCAATGTCTGTTTCTTTGTGGCACAATTATCAACAAATGATAACAGAGAAATGAACCTGTGAAGACATATTTAACCAAAAGAAATAACAACTTTTGTGTAATATTAAACAATGGAAAGAATAAATGTTGATTTTTAAAGAGTAGAGCCGAGTTTTCGTTTCTGAAATACTTTTATTTGTTCTAATCGGTAACCTTTAATTACTGACAGAATTCGAAACATGATGTATGGAATACATTCGATTCGTTTGTTATCTCTGTGTTCAAGGAACTTCCTTGAAATACTGTCCTGCACAATTGGCATAATGTTTTGTTTTTTCATCTCATCAATCTTAAGGGTGAAGAAGAGAGAAAAGATCTAATATGCTGGATTCCACCAGGACCACTGGGAAAACTCATCCTCACCTCTTCGCCTTATCTCGGCTATTCGAAGAGGTACTGGCTTGTCCTCTGCAATTACGCTTTAAAAGTAGTTTTTCCCAGAGCAGTAATTTTCAAAGAAGATTAATTTATTAATTAGATTTTCTCCGAGCGACTTCCCACTGGTGCAGCTGGGGTAAGGTCTGATAAAGGAACAAAAAGATGCAAGGTGTGAACCAAAGATGCAGTAAATGACACCGGGTGGAGAAAAAAATCGTTAAACCGTGCATCTCTAGAGGCAAACGTTGAGTGCGTGTGGTGTAAAGACGATTAGCGCAATGACGCGTTATTCTTCATAATTATGGAGGGAGCATATGAAAAGCACTCGGTCCTTTTTTGAACTGCAACATATTAGAGTTAGAAAAGAAACATTAGCAAAAGTCTCAGACTTTGTGTCTTTAGATAAAACAACATAAACCGATTAGACTCCTTCTGACACTTTTATTCCCAGCTGAGATTCTTTTAATGTTCCTGTTTGTTTTCATCTTTTCGTTCGACACAAATTATCTAAAGACATTTTCAACATAAAAGGATATTAATGTTTTAGCATAAAGTGAAATAAAAAAAAAACAACTGAATTATTTCTAAAAAAAAATCATTCTTCGAAAGAGCATTGGCCGTTTTATAAAATTACCTAAAACTATCTCTTTTTCTATTAATTTGTTAGAAACAGTTTGGTGTAAACGCAAATTCCATTTTTAGGAAATTTAATCTTTGATGGAAGAGTCAGTAACTTTTGTCACTACAGTATTCCCATTTTTGTTCTAAGATACAGCCCCATTCAAGACTTTTATTTAAGTCGCTTTTAGAAGGAACATCCAATTAAAAACATCCTATCGTTGAATACTACATGATTTTAGGAAAGAATCAAGTTTACTTAGAAGAGCTATGTAATCTTCTTCATATCTTCATTTTTTTATATCGAAATTATTATACACAATAATACGGAGTCAGTAGATGTTACGACTCACATTTAAACAACTATATATAACCGCTTAGTACATCTTCAACAACACTCCTTAAGTCTACTGGTACGGATATTGCTGACAAAGACCACATGTTTAGTAAGAATAACTACTGCTTGTTTAGATAATTTCCTAAAAGACGAACGTATCAAAAAATTTGACAGATAAGTACTGTTCCTATCCGGTAAAGCTGGCAGGGTATATCCTAAAAGACGAAAGTATCAAAAAGTTTGACAGATAAGTACTGTTCCTATCCAGTAACACTGGCAGGGTATATCCTAAAAGACGAACGTATAAAAAAGTTTGACAGATAAGTACTGTTCCTGTCAAGTAACACTTGAAGGGTATCTCTTCCAACAATGTGTGAAATATTTTTACTAAAGTGTACGTGGCAAGGTACGTCACACATATATATAAATATTATAAGTTTCCTATTGTTTAGTGTCCGCCTTCAGATAATGACACTGTTTAAGTAACTAGTATTCTGTGATTTACTTC